GCTTATTCTTATGGGAGCTAATTTCCTTCATTTTTTGGGTGTGACATATACAATTCGTTACAAACACAAAATAAGAAGCAAACTCAAAAGAAGAACAAAAAATATTAGATTAAAAATAGAAGTTAGTCCATGGCCCACACTCCAAAGTCCACTCTCATCCACGACCAACTCTTAGTTACTTGAAAAAAAATGATAAACATGGAGTGAGTAAAACTTAGTAATTAGCCAACTAGTAGGTTCTTAATCGCGACCTTAAGCTAGGATATTACTTATTGTTATGTTTTCAGGATCTTAGAACTTAGAGGTCATCGTTTCATGTATCATATACTGATCCTGAAAACCTTCCCCTAAAATAACCTTCAATTTTCTCCCCATGAACACATGAGTGGTGTCGTCATAATCATGTAATCCTACTGGTAAATCGTTGTGCAGGACATCTCGCTTAGCTGATGAGAAAGGTAGGCATATCATAACATCCAGTTCATGATACATATTGCAGGACATCCTACCTAAAAAGGAATAGGGGCCTTTTAGAACACATCATAATGCAGATAATGGTTACTTCTGGATATGGATCCTAGCAACTTATTTAGCATGTTATTCACATAGTTCTAGGTACTTGGTACATGGATTATTGATGAACCTAGGTTTATACATAATGTCATGGGTTAGGCATTAGGAGTTGAGGTTTTAGCTTAGGAAAACATTAGAGGGTAACCTAAAATGGACTAATTCGTGTGAAAACCTACTAACACTTTGAGGACCTCTTTCCTTCACCAAACTTATGGGTAAACTTATTTAGAAGGTGCAGGAACAAGTTTGGAAATGAATAGTGGACTATAGTTCTCAAATTCGAGGTAAACCCATAAACACGATACCCCAAAACAAAAAAATTGTATCTCTCGATTGGGTACTCGATTTAGATTGCTTCTTGCCCCTAATAGTCTACCCTAATTCATAATTTATAGATGGATTTTCCACTACCATTGAAACGTCTAGAATTTCTATAATTTCATTCTTGATTTTTCTGAATCTTCTGCCAGAAAAGTCTTCTCCGATCGGAGCCTTCCTTTTTTAAGCACCTTGTAATTCTTATTCTATAAAAAATTTAATGATTTGGGAAGTTTATAAAAATTAGAAAAAGTACCATTTTCTTAATGTTTTTTCAATTTTACTTGTTCTTTGCTTCTAGATACAACCTAGTAGGGATTATACACTGTCTCTTATTGGAGACCTTGAGTGTTGCAAATTCTCCTTTCCTTTGAAAACTTTCGGTCATCGAAAGTGCTTATTCTAAAATAGGGCAGGGTCCAAGGTTCTTATTTGCCTTCTGTTTCCCAAGTGGCTTCTTCTACTCTATGATTCTTCCATAGGACCTTAACGAGAGAGATTTCCCTATTTCTCAATTATTTGACTTTCTTGTCTATTATTTGAATCGGGTCTTCTTTATACGTTAGGTCATCTCTCAAGAAGAGAGTTTCATGAGCCAGTACGTGCGAACGATCTAGGGTATACTTCCGTAGTATGGATACATGAAAGATATTATGTACTGCAGACAAGTTTGGGCATTGTTCGATTCTATGGGCCACAAATCCAATTCTTTCTAATATCTCAAAGGGACGGATAAACCTAGGGCTTAGCTTCCCCTTTTTATCCTACCTGAACACCCTTCTCATGGGGTGCTACCTTTAGGAATATATGATCCCCTACCTACAATTCCATGTCCTTGCGCCTTAGGTCTGCATAGCTTTTCTCTTGGTTTTGTGTGGTTTGTATCCTAGCTTTAATCTTCTGGACTGCGGTGTTGGTAATTTGCACCAGCTCTGGCCCAATAGTTGTCATTTGCCCCCCTTCTTCCGGAAAGATAGAGGATCGAAATCTTCATCCATAAAGAACCTCGTATGTGGCTATTTGTATGGTGGCTTGGCAAGTATTATTATAAGCGAATTTCATAAGGGGTAGGTACTTATCCCAGCTTCCTGCAAAATCCATCACATATACCCTCAACATGTCTTCCAATATTTGCTTGAGCATTTCTGTTTGACCATCTGTTTATGGTCTTGACTCAAACGAATAAGCTTGTAACACATGAAATGATTGTTGAACCTAGTCTATCCAATTTTGTAGATGAAGTATGAATGCAGTGAACTATAACACGTTAGGTATTTCCGATAATTCATTGAGATTTCAGAAAGGAACAATGACTAATTTTAGATTGAATAGTCAGGTTATGCAACTAGAATCAGGTGCTGTGAACGTGGAGATCAAACACCTGACCTTCAAATCTTCAATCTGACGCTCTCCCAATAGAGCTATCCCCGCTAATACTAAAAATGAAAATTCATAAGTAAAGGTATTTCCGCTCATTCATTATATTTAAAAAAGAAATAATCACTAATTTTAGATTGAATAAGCAAGTTATGTTTTTAGATTGTATAGTCAGGTAATAAACTTGTCTTAGGTGCGTTGAACGTGGATAAAACACATGTGACCTTCTGCGTACCCAATGCCTTTTGTTGAATTTTCCAGAAGCGAGATTTAAATTTGTCATCTCAGTCTAATACTATTGCTTTTTGTTGAATTTCCAAAAGTATACCCAATACGTTTACTGATGAATATTCATTTTTAATGTTAGCAAGAGTAGCTCAGTTGGGAGATTGTTAGACTGAAGATTTGAAGGTCACAAGTGTTTTATCTACGTTCAACGCACCTAATACAAGTTTATTACCTGACTATACAATCTAAAAACATAACTTGCTTATTCAATCTAAAATTAGTGATTATTTCTTTTTTAAACATAATGAATGAGCGGAAATACCTTTACTTATGAATTTTCATTTTTAATATTAGCGGGGATAGCTCTATTGGGAGAGCGTCAGACTAAAGATTTGAAGGTCAGGTGTTTGATCTCCACGTTCACCGCACCTGATTCTAGTTGCATAACCCGACTATTCAATCTAAAATTAGTCATTGTTTCTTTCTGAAATCTCAATGAATTATCGGAAATACCTAACGTGTTATAGTTCACCGCATTCATGCTTCATCTACAAAATTGGATAGGCTAGGTTCAACAATCATTTCATGTGTTACAAGCTTATTCGTTTGAGTCAAGACCATTTGGAGATTCAAAAGTAAATATTTGCACGGTTGAAGTAGTGGATGAAGTTGCAAGCATCATTTCATGAGTAGTTAGAAAACTTTATTTATTATTTTAATTTCATAAAGTTTGTAATGCTCAAATTGACTTCGTCTTTCTGTGGAGATTTAAAGGGATCGAGATTTAAAGGGATCGATATTAAATCACGAACACTAATTTCTTTTGTTGGGAGACTATAAATACCCACAAATTATTATGTAAAAGCATATTTGTGATCAATGAAATTGATCTCTCAAGTTGAGACTATCCCCCTTATAGAAATCTGAGCATATCTTTGTCATTTCTAAGTTTCATGCAATTCTTGTGGTAGATTGCATCTGAGTCATTCAATCAAGCCTTGATCAACTTCTATTGTGAAGTGACTCAATTTAGAAAAATGTTCTAAATCTTGTCTCTCAATCTTGGATCTCATTATCTAATTCTAGCTTTATCTCTTCGTTGATCCAAATTTTGTATAAGAAGGTGTTAATTTCTTTATTCTTGCTTCTACAAAAGCTTGGCTCGTTGGACTGAAGATTACTGTTGGTCTATCATCCTTCAACGGGATCTTCTATCCCCATGACTTGCTCTGATGCGGTTTTTTTCTAACGCCGATGACACTTCCAGTTGTCGAGTTTGGTAATGCGAGTTTGTAACCGATCCATTGAGGTTCTTGGAATGATTCTATAGCTTATCATTTCCATGTTGGGAGTTGGATCATGGGTCTTGGGCGAAGGAATCCTTAATTTACCGCCCTTGGAGTTGAAGAAAGTGTCATAAGGCTAATTTTTTTTCAATTTTTTTCAATTTTTTTAGTGATTTTATTTCAATTTTGTCAAACTCACTCACGTGCTCATCTCAATCATTTCAACCCTGTTGGCATTCAATAAGAGAGACCTTGGAAATAACGTGTAACTATTCAACTGGATTGTCACATTAACAATTTGAATCAAATAAAGTGACATTAACCATTTGAATCACCTTAACCCCACTTGTTGAACTTGACCAAATGTCTATAACATAACACTAACAAAGGTACAAAGTAGCACAAACATACAAAATGGGACCATAGCTTAATGTTAGAGCATTTGATTGCAGATCAAGAGGTCACCAATTCGAACCTAATTGGGCCCTTCTATCTAGGATAGAAATTTGTCACACTTTTTGGACAGACACTATGTCTAAGGGGTCACTAAGGTTAAAATCCTACAAAATGGATCCATGGCTCAGTGGTAGAGAATTTGACCGGTCACCCGTTTGAACTTGGTTGGGCCCTTTTATTTTGGACAGGCACTTTTTACACTTTTGGACTGACACTCTGTAGAAGAGGTCACTAAAGTTAAAATCATGCAAAATGGGTCCATAGCTCAGTGGTAGAGCATTTGACTGCAAATCAAGAGGTCATTAGTTTGAATCTTGTTGGGCCCTTTTATTTTGGACAGACACTTTGTTCGATTTACTCCCGACCACCGAGTGTCTAAAGAGAAAAGAAATAAGAATAATTACCAATTCCATGTACATTAAGAAAGGAGTGTGGATCTTGTACTCACTCCATGTTTTCCATATATCATATATCTTTCATGTAACTAAGAGTAGTTGCCCTTAGACAAATAACACCAACTATTTTTTATGTTTTAAAATGATTTTTTTCAACATTTCCCTTATTTTGTACTATGAACCTATAAAGGTCTTGTACTCACTCCATGTTTTCCATATATTTCATGTAACTAAGAGTAGTTGCCCTTAGACAAACAACACGAACTATATTTCCTATTTTTATTCATTTTCTCTTTTCTTATTTTGTACTATGAACCTATAAACTCTATTTTGAATATAATGTAAATACCTTGCAATCCGTGCTTCGAGAACCCACCGAAAATGGGTCATGACTCCCTTTTTGTTTTCACTTACTCCTAAATCTATAAAATGTTTCCTATTTTTATTCATTTTCTCTTTTCTTAAATATCAAAATCTTAAATAAAAAGGAAGAGCTCTCTAAAATATTCTTCTTTGCCAGTAATTTTACATAATTTAACATTTTAAAAATCCATAAATTAAAAAATCCTACATTGATATATTCGTAATTTCATGTAGTCTTCCTAAGTTTTCCGGCGACATTTTTTGTTGTCGAGCTTGATAATGTGAGTTTGTAACCCATCCGTTAGGGTTCTTGAAATGATTCTCTCGATTATCCCATCCATGTTGGGAGTTGGGCCATGGGTCTTTGGTGAAAGAACCGTTGGTTTACCGCCCCTAAAAGTTAAGGAAGCATCTTGAGGCTAGTTTCACATAGTATCATTGTCATTGAGATAACAATTCTTTTCTATTTTATCTAAATTTTTTAAATATGGGTTCATTTCCAAATGCATGCTAACAGACTTATTGTTGAATGAATGACATGAAACTAGTTTCACATAGTAACGTTGCCTTTTGCACCTATTGGTGGAAGGATAACATTGGATCGATATGGCAACCCTAGAGGGGGTGAATAGGGTTTCAACAATGTAATTATTAATTTTTTTTTTAATAACAATCAAACTTGATACCATGCAATAAAACTTAACAATTATTTAGAACTTAAATAGGAAAAGGGTTATAAAATATAACACTGTAGTTTTATAGTGGTTCAGTCAAACTCGACCTACTCCACTCCCCAAGCACCTCTTGGGAATTTGAATAAAACTTTCTGACTCTTTCCTCGGATTAGAGCCCAACCGCTACACCGCTCTTTTTACGAGTGCAAGAGCAAACTCAATCCTTTTTCCGGCTCAGGATCAAACTGGTACACCGCTCTTTTTACGAGTGCAAGAGCAAACTCAATCCTTTTCCCGGCTCAGGATCAAACTGGTACACCGCTCTTTTTACGAGTTCAAGAGCAAACTCAATCCTTTCTACGATTCAGGATCAAACCGATACATCGCTCTTTTTACGAGTTTAAGAGCAAACTCAAACCTTTCCATGGCTCAGGATCAAACCGGTACACCGCTCTTTTTATGAGTTCAAGAGCAAACTCAATTCTTTCCACGACTCATATCAAACCGGTACACCGCTCTTTTTATGAGTTCAAGAGCAAACTCAATCCTTTCTACGACTCAGGATCAAACCAGTACAATTCTCTGAAATCTTATAGAAACACACCACACCACTCTGAAATAATAGACATCTCTCTCAGGAATAAGATAAAAAAAATTAAATTGGAAGCTTTGGAGGGAGAGAGGCTTTTTTTAAAAAAAATTAGATCGAGGAAACAAATATTCTGTGTGTTGTGTTGTGAAAAATAGTAAGAGGTGATGAGTTTAAATATTGATGAAGTTATAAAAATAGAAATTGATACGGACCACTAAAATGTGAACCGAAGCGTGGACCCCGAAAAATAATATTTATTTATTTTTAATTTTATCGTAAAAAATTATAGACCACGTGTTTCATTTTATATATATATATATTAAATAAATATTAAAAAAAGTTTTAAATTCATTTTTATTATATATATATATAACATATTTAAATGTAATACTATAAAAAAAATGTTAATGAAAACTATGAGTAACATTTTACAAATAATTAAAAGTTTTATAAATCTAAATGAAATCCTTATAATTGAAATGATTTTGTAATTCAAATAATTATCTTTATGACAACTAAATGAAATTATTATAATTTTATAATTTCTTTTTATTTAAAAGTAATAATTCGTTTTCATAAATGAAATTATTATAATTTTTTTTTCATTTAAAAGTAACCACTAGTTTTCTAAATGAAATTTTTATAATTTCTTTCCATTTAAAAGGTAACCGAAAACTTTTATAAATGTAATTGAAATGATTTTATAATTTAAAAGTAATGGAAACTTTTATAAATGTAATTGAAGACTCCACCATTTGTTACTCTACCAAATTTATAAATGTCATACTTCGATTGGTCTATGATGTCAATTTTGTCGCTGGTCCATGATGTCAATTTTGTCACCATATCATCACGTCAGGTATTTTGTTTTGAATTTGATTTGTCCATGATGTCAATTTTGCCACCACATCATCACGTCGGGTATTTATTTTGACTGGAACTTCTTCGTTTTATCTCTAATTAGAGTGAACCAAAAAAGACGTTGAAATCATTGTTCCCAACCTTACACCGTGGACAAAAATACTTAGAATTGTTAATAATTGAAGGTAGGTTTGTTATCATCAAAAAAATTAGGCAAAAAAACCAACAGATAATAGGTCGATTATACCTATAGGATAGTTTTAAGCGTGACAACGAGACTATTTTTTTTTTTAAGTTAAAAATTAGAATTATAACAATCTGCCTAAAACCCTCAGACTAATTTTGCTTCATTTCTAAATGCAGGCAGACAAAGTAGAAAAATGAAAACATGTAAATTGTAAACTCAAACATTTCAAAGAAATAAATAAGTTTGGATGGTACCAATGCTAACCCGAAAACAATCAAACCAAATTTATTTCAAACATAGGAAACTTCATGTCTCCATCTTGTAAAGCCAATAAACCAAAGGGCTTAATATAGTCGAGAAAGAAAAAAATGTTACCCTCATCTGTGTTGTGCTGTGCCATAAGTGATCAATGGATGTTGACTTTGACCAATTCCTACTATTTTTTTTTCCTATACTTTGAAACTATTTTAAGCACTTTTTTCTTGTACTCTTTATAATTTCTACCTTTTAAGGTTGTAAATATTTGTGCACGGGTGACTATTAGGATTACCAATCAACTGAGTCAAGTGGAAATAAATTTTGAAGATGAAATTAAAGTATTAATTTTGATGTCATCTTTACCTAAGTTTTGGGATATTCTTACCTGAGTTTTGGGATATTGTTATATTTATTAAAGTAATTAAATACTTAAAATTCACATACATAATATATATAAAGTTAGAACTTTATGAAGCTAGATATAAAACTCAACTTTATATTTATTAAAGTAATTGATTTTAATGTTTTGAAACTCAATTAGATATATATAAAGTAATTAATTTAACATATTATATATTGTTTAGAGATCTATACGATATAAACTTGAAAGTGTAAAAATATCATCTATTTTTTCAATTTCAGAAATTTATAAGATACAAATTTTATGAACATCTATGGTCCCATGGTCTATCGATACAAAGATGAAAGTAATGATACATTAGGAGATTGTCCCATGGTCTTCACCTTGTGCATTTCTCCCCTTTATAAAACATAAAGATGGTGATGTTTTAAAGCGCGTGGTCTTAATTTTGGAATTTGATCATCTGTCTACCACTTATTCAAGAAAGCATAATTTTATTTCCTTAGGCAACCTTATCTAAGACGTATTAGATCCCGATTTCTTCATTAAAAGCTCTCAACTTAATCTTCTAAAGCTAAAGAAAGGGTCAATTTTGAAGAAAATGGATTGTAAGTAAGACTTCGATCCTTACTCCCAAATTTTAAACGAAAATAAATTTCTTCAATTGGACTTGCTTTGAGTCTTGTTAACCTTCGTGGTCTTCTACGAAAATATTCCTTGGAGGTTCGAAAATCGAACATGATAGGTTTCTTGAAAAATTTGCATGTAGGCTCGTATTTAATTTTCGAGCTTCAACCATCTCCCTTTAAAGATGGACCAAATTGAGAAGTTGTGTTTGAGGCACCTTCAACACTTTATTTCATCACCAAACTTGTGGATTTTCCCATTTAGGAGATGCAAAAGCAGGTTCGAAGGAAAATGGTTGGCTATGGCTCTCAAATTTGGAAGAAATCCGCGAGTAAGAAACCAAAAATCTCAGAGGCTATAACAACTCACAGTTGAAGGTTCGACTTAGCTCGATTCTTGCTCCAAGCGAAAGCTCCTACTTTAGAATTTATAGAGAGAGCTTAAATCGACGTTAAAAACTTTTAGATTGTGGTGAATTTGAGATTGAATTTTATGAAATTTATGCCAAACATATTCTCTCTGAGTAGTGAGCAACTGATCTCCATTTTAAATTTGATCGTTGGATTCGATGAGTTGTGTCTCTTCTATAACATACTTAGAAGGCCATTTGAATATGTCATGATCCAAAGATTTTATAGTTACAAGGCCATTGGAATATGTCTAGATTTAACCAAAATTTAGGGTGGTAAATGACCAACATACCCCTATAAGAATTCTAAAATATTTTCAAGATTACAAAAAAAACCTTAATTGTTAAATAAACTTTTTAATAGACTCATTTATGACCAAGCATAAGTATGCAAGATCGCACGAGGTATGAACTTAAGAAAAATGATGAAACAACCCTTAAAAACCTTTTATAAGAATCAAGGTTTGTTATGAATATCAAATGACAACATGTGTATATGAAACTATTCTTAAGTATCTCAAGTTTTACTACATATAAGAACATTTATTATGCTTATGCAAATCCGTCTTAGGTGAGAGTTTTATTAAGTCACTCCTTAG